CATAAACATTTCAGGAGGCAATAAACTACTCAAATGCTTCAATGTGGATGATGGCAATGCAAGAAGAAATTGAAGCCCTTCATAAAAATAATACATGGGACCTTGTGCCACTACCACAAGGAAGGAAGCCAATTGGTAACAAACGGGTCTTCAAAATCAAGCGAAATGGTGATGATCAAGTGGAGAGGTATCGTGCAAGACTTGTGGTCAAAGGATATGCTCAAAAAGAAGGTATTGATTTCAATGAAATATTTTCTCATGTAGTTCGACTAACAATAGTTTGAGTAGTCTTGGCAATGTGTGCTACATTGAATTTACATCTAGAGCAGCTAGATATTAAAACAACTTTTCTTCATGGAAATCTTGAAGAAGAGATTTGCATGCTTCAGCCTGAAGGTTTTGAAGAAAAAGAAAAGAAGAACTTGGTTTACAGGTTGAACAAATCTATGTACGGTCTAAAGCAGGCACCGAGGTGTTGGTATAAGAGATTTGATTCATTCATTATGTGCCTTGGATACAACAGACTTAATGCAGACCCTTGTGCTTATTTCAAGAGGTCTGGTGATAACGATTTTGTTATATTGTTGTTGTATGTGGATGACATGTTGGTTGCAGGACCCAACAAAGATTATATTGAAGAATTAAAGACACAACTGGCTAGGGAATTTGAAATGAAAGACTTGGGATCAGCAAATAAGATTCTAGGGATGCAAATTCACCGATACAGAAGTAATAGTAAGATTTGGCTTTCACAAAAGAATTACTTGAAGAAGATCTTGTCACGATTCAACATGCAAGATTGTAAGCCAATTTTTACCCCTATTCCTATTAACTTCAAATTATCCTCTAGTATGAGTCCTAGCAGTGAAGAAGAAAGGATGTAGATGTCTCGAGTACCGTATGCATCAGCAGTGGGAAGTTTAATGTTCGCTATGATATGCACAAGACCAGACATTGCACAAGCAGTGGGAGTGGTTAGTCGGTACATGACGAATCCAAGCAAAGAGCATTGGAATACAGTAAAGAGGATCCTGAGATACATCAAAGGGACCTCAAATATTGCATTATGTTACGGATGATCAAACTTACTAATCAATGGGTATGTAGATTCTGACTATGCAGAGGATTTGGATAAAAACAAATCTACTACAAGATATGTGTTCAAAATTGCTGGTGGAGCTGTAAGCTGGGATTCAAAATTACAGTCAGTTGTGGCTATATCCATAACAGAGGCAGAATATGTAGCAGCTACACAAGCTAGTAAAGAAACAATTTGGTTGAAGATGCTGTTGGAGGAGCTTGGGCACAATCAAGAGTATGTCTCTCTGTTTTGTGACAGTCAAAGTGCTTATGTCTCTCTGTTTTGTGACAGTCAAAGTGCTTTGCATCTAGCAAGGAATCCAACATTTCATTCAAGAACAAAACACATACGAGTTCAATACCATTTCATTCGTGAAAAGGTGGAAGAAGGGACGGTAGATATGCAGAAGATCCATACCAAAGACAACATAACAGATTTCATGACGAAGGCAATCAATGCTGATAAATTTACCTGGTGTCAATCCTCTTGTGGCCTGTCAGAGACATAAGAAACATGAAGGTACAAGGTAGAAAGAATGGTGTGAAGATATGATTGTTCTAATCAAATCTTCAAGTGTGAGATTGTTGAAAATCAAAGTTTAAATGGTGCAAAGTCAAAATTGGTGGCACCACCAATTTGCACCGAAAGTGCATCAATTTAATGCACCGAAAATTTGTTGGTTTTTGTTGAAAAAATGGCAAGGGTATAATCGCAATTTAGTCACTGTACTTTAGGGTATTTACAAATTAGTCCTTAAACTTCAACTATAAATACCCTAGCTCATTTAGCTTCAAAACCATCCCAAAGCATTCTAGCTTTCTTCCAATACTAGAGAATTTAGAGAGTTTCTTGAGAGTTGTTTTCTCCATTTTATCAAGAGATAATTATCATTGTTTTCTCCTTGGTAGATCGAGAGAAGTTGTAATTCATATTTTCTCATAGTGAAATTCTTCTACCGTTGCCTGTGGTTTTTACCCTATATTATTTAGGAGTTTTACACGTAAATTTTGTCTCTTTTATCTTCATTTTTATTTTATCAAATTATTAGTTGCGATTTTGCTCTATCCGATAGCCGTCTTCCGCAACATTAAATGCTTAGTATTTCAACAATGGCTGATTTGACTCAGTTGACTTTATTAATTGTTTGGTATTTTGTTCAATAGTTGACGACGTCGAAAGATGGTCTCGCAATGGGTGCGCCTTCAACCATGCAATCCTCGATAGAACCTTGGCTTGGCATTTCATGAGCTCTTGGGCTAAAATCTGTAGTGGTTCAAGTTATATTTCCGACTCACCGTTTCTTGATCGGACCAAATCTCGACCTCGAGCTATCACCCAACCCGGTGGCTTACTCCAATAGCAACGCCGAGCAAGACCCGCAGCTTAGGGAGAAACTCTTCATATTTTTCGAAGCTGCTGTCGATGAGATCAAGTCGAGAGTGAACTCTCACCCACCATTCGACGGCGGCGCTAAACCGTTCTCGACTTTTTGATCTCCAGTAGCGCACATTTGGCGACATGTCACCCAAGCAAGTAATCTTAAACCCGAAGACTACACAATTTTTACTGTCTTCGCAGATTGTCGTAAGAGGGATTATCCACCAATGCCCGACAGCTAATTCGACAATCTGATCCAAGCCATATTCAGTATTCACCGTCACGCCGCCTGGTTGTTGGCGGCGAACCCGCCGGATTTCGGTACTTCGATGATACAAAGAGCTATAGAATCCCACAATGCTAAGGCCATTGATGAACGTAACAAGGTGTGGGAAGGGGTGCCGAAGATTTTCCAGTTCAAGGAAATCGGCGTCAACTTCGTGGCGGTTGGTAGCTCACCGCGGTTTAAAGTTTACGAGATGGATTTCGGGTGGGGAAAGCTGGAAGGTGTGAGGAGTGGATCCAACAACCGGTTCGATGTGATGGTGTATTTGTATCAAGGGAAGGCTGGTGGCCAGAGCATTGGCGTGATGATTACCTTGAAGGCTCAAACTATGAGAATTTGGAGAAATATAAAGAGTTTCTCAAGGAAGTGTAGTATTTTGTGTGACCAATGATCAAACTTGGAAATGTACTATTTTCACGTTAATTGGTTCGAGTTTAAGATAATTTATGCTTATAAAATCTTAATATTTTAATAATTAATATTAAAAATAAATATGATCTAATACATCACACTTTTAAATTTTATATATGATTTATGATAACTGAATTAAACAATTTAGCTTAAAAATTGAAAGCAAAAAAATTTTATGATAAAAGGTGAATTGTATCTATCATTAATTTACGCTCCTCCCATGATCATAAATTAATGTAGAATTTATTTTAACATTGATGTAAGTTATGTTTTTTATTGTTGTTGGTTTAGTTTGTCTTTCCCTTATCATGTAAAAATGGTATATGGATTTGTCTTTTTTGTAGCACGTTATTTGTTTGTTTTTATAATATATTTTTTTATCATGATTTGATTTTGTATTGCCTATTCATATTTAGATGTCATTTATTTGGATATCATGTTGATCTATCTTTGTTTTGGATCCTGAAATTAAATATTGATAGAGACTTGCAGTTATCGAAGATAAGTCACAATTAAGTAGTGATAATGTTGTTTGTCAATGAGTCATCCTTTTTATATGCATATTTATATTAGTGTTGACAATTTTATCCTTCATTGTCAATGATGATATTTATTTGTATTTATTATTTGTCCGAATTATTTGGTTGAATGTTTAATAATTTTTATATGTTTTTCTATTAGGTGTTTAGTTTGTGCATTTTAATGATTTTAAGGAGAATATCAGAGTTACATAATTAGTTTAATTTTTTTGTTTTTATATGCTTTTCGTGTTATTTTCTTCTTCATTTAATAAAACTTGATATTATTGTTAGTTTTAATATATATATATATATATATATTAGTTTTTAAAATATATTTGTATTTAAATAAATAATCAAATTGTACACTAATAATTAATGCAATGTCATGTATTAGATCTAGCTGCAGGCAGCTGCCCACCGGTTGCCAAAGTACTATGTCCATGTGGGTGTATTGATAGTAGTCTTTCTCGTTCTTATCCACCTTCGCTATTTACGTAAGTGAAGGTTCGCTATCATCATAAATGGAAGGGCTAAAGCAAAAGACCTGCTGGAAACAATCCTCCTTCAGTGTCCCTTTACATACCATCTGGCCACTGATGCTGTCAGCTTTCTACTACCTGGTTTTGACTTTTAGAATAACTCAGTTTTCACTGCTGTCATTACACTTTATCCTTTGTTATTGGATTATGTACAGAGAAAAACAGTAAATTATTGTACTTGCTATTTACTTTGTGGTAGCAACAAGTTCATTTTTTTTTCTTTCCCTGCAGTGTCATTTCTACCTATGGGAAGAACGGCAGGGCCACCTCTTAGGAGCTATTTTGATGGTCAAAGTTCAAGTCTTTATTGTTGATCAAGCATATGAAGCAATTGATCTTTCGATCCTTGTTCTTCCCCAAGGAACAATGGTGGTTAGTGGATATCTTGAAAGGGCCGATGCGTTTAAGTACCTAGGTAAGTTTTTGACATGGAGGAGCAGAAGTCAAAGGATTTGATTTGCAGAATCTGCTTAGTTTCTGCCATATTTGAGTATTATTGTTCAAAGGTTTGATTTTTAAGTGCAAATGTTTTATAATTGAATTTGTGTTGAAAATTTCAAGTCAAAACAATCCCCCACCACTGCATTTCTATCTATTTTCATTGTTCAACTCTTCGACAACATGAAAAAACCAAAGTTCTGCCCTTCCTTTCTATCTATCCATGGGATGGAAGGGCAGAGGCCTTTGGTGTCCCCTCTGCAAACAATGCATATCTTTCTCATAACATATACATCGTTTTATTTGTAACAAAATCAAATGAACCTATCAATTTCATTTGAAGACTAGAATTAACCACCAATTCATTTGTCTGCAAAATAAGATACAAAAGGATAATGACAACAGAATAGTTGATCTCTAAAATCTGTAATACAACTTTACTCACAGTTCTGGGATTCGTATTGAAGAAAGGGCTTATTCAAAACAAAGAATCCACCACACTTCTATGCCTCCCACAGTGACATGTGCTCCAGATGATGTAAATATTGTCTGAATCTAACATTCCTCATCATCCTGCTCAAATAAAAACCAATCACTAAACAATTAGGTAGAGTTAGGGTTCAAGGGACCCCACCATGGTTCAGGTTCTAGATGATTTAAATATTGTCTGAATCTAACATCCCTCATCGTCCTGCATTCCTGCTCAAATAAAACCAAGAATAAGACATTTCCTCGGGAAAATCACTAAACAATAACACATTTCATTGGGAAAATCACTAAACATCAGAAAAAAATTATGGAACTTCTAAATGTTTTTCAATTAGTATGAACTCACTCAAACTATGTATACATATGTTTCTAACAAATTAATGTTCAGAAAAAAAGAAGACTTGAAGCAAGATAGGTAAGAATTGACTACCATTGGAGAACTTGAAGCTGGTTCTGAAGGAACTACACAATTGGACCATTTGGTAGAGTTGGGGTTCAAGATACACCATGGTTCAACTCCTAGTCCTTTTCTTTATCATCGGATACGGTTCACCTGAGAGAATGGCTCATGGTGCGCTTTTTGAACAGTTTTAGCCACTTCTGGGACCCCAAAAACATTCCAGAATCTTAATGTCTCGTCTCCTGCAGCTGAAGCCACTGTGCAGCCATCAGGGCTTTGAGCCATGTAAAGTACCCTAGATGTGTGACCGGTTAGCTCTGCCATCTTCACCATGGATGGATATTTCCAAAGTGTCAATTGATTCTGCGTAAATCCATGAGAACTCAAAAGCTCCCTTTCATTCTTGCTCCACAGCAAAGCACACACCTGAGAGCCTGTATCAACTGAATTCAAGCATGCACCAGTATGTGTGTTCCAAAATTTTATGCTTCGATCACCACCACCTCCACCAGTGGCCAGCAAATTGCTCTGGAAAGGGCACCAAGCAAGGGCTTTGACAGCTGAAGTATGATCCTCCAACCTGTGCAGCCATCGTGTTGGTGAATTCGAAGATGCCATGGACCTATCCCATATGTGAACAAGATTATCATTGCCTCCGCTGGCTAGTTGTTGTCCGGAAGCTGACCATTTTAGCCCACAAACCTCTTGCTGGTGTCCTCTGTATGTTTCGACAATATGAGATCTAATTCTCACATCATTGTTAACAATCTGACCATCCATTCCTCCTGTTGTAAGAATGTGATTGTTCCATGCCATAGAACCCACTCTTGATCTGTGACAACCTCTCAGAGTTCGCAGCTGCAGCAACAAAGTTAAATATCAGTGTCAGATTAAACAATGGAAGAACAAAAATAAGAAGCTGCAAATATTTCAGCATGGTCTATGAAATCAAACCTGTTTGTTGGAAGCCGAATCCCATAGTTGTACTTCAGAATTGTTCAAGCCAACAGCAATATGCCGACCATCAGGTGCCCAACTCACACTTGTTATTGGTCCATTTTCATCATCAACAGTAACGAGTTCCGAGGTAGAACTATCTGAAGCATCCCACAAATACACAGTGTTTCCAAGTGCTATTGCTAGCACATTGCTGCTACCCCAATCCAATAAATTCAGGTAAAAGTCATCAATGAGATCAGGGGCATCCAATGTTCTCTCGGAGCTCTGAAGAATCAAAATGATAATAATCACATCGCATTAGTGTCAGTTGAACCAAAATTTCCTGAACTAGTGCATGACATACTCTAGTTACCTGGGGAATGTGTCTTCTAGGCTTTGCGGATTTGGTCAGATGAACTGAAGTCAAGTTCTCAGAAGGGAAGAGTTCAACTGGTTCTGGTGGCTTATTCTTGAAAGCCAAAATTCGGGTCCGGTTCATGTTCAAAGCCTCAGCCAGCAGCTTCCTGTAGGCCTCCCTGGCAGGGGAGCACACTGATTCATTCTCTTTGACCTTCCATCCTGTCAGCATGCAATGCGCATAATCGAAGTCCGTTGCTGAACGGTTTGGTATGAATCTGTCCATCTGGTAATACCAAAACACATTCAATTTGGATGTCACTGAAGGGTCTAGTTTATCAGTTCATAAGTTAAATAAAAAGAACTTCATTTAATCGAAGCTATTCTCTAAAATCAATTAATGAAATGAATGATTATCTAGAAAGCCTTTGTCAAGTCGAAATTCTAAAAATTAAACCCGATTTGTCATCATTAAAGTTCAATAAAAGCACATTCAATTTGAATGTCAGTACAAAGTCTAGCGTATCAGTTCATAAGTTAAAAAAGGATTTCATTTAATCGAAGCTATTCTCTAAAATCAATTAAGAAATGAAGAACTGAAACCCTAAAAATCAACCCTTAGTTGACATCATTAATATTAAATAGAAGCACATTCAATTTTAATGTCTCTACAAAGTCTAGTTTATCAATTCCAAGGTTAAAAAAGGGACTTCATTTAATCAAATCTATTCTATAAAATCAATTTAAGAAATGAAGAATCGATTATCTATAATCCCTTGTATCAAATTCAAAATCCACAAATCAAGAACAAGAAAACCCGGATCTGCAATCATTAAAATTAAATAAAACCCTACATAATTAGTTCAAATATTTACATTTTCTTTAGAAGAATTTCTTCTCAGGAGAACCTGTTCTTGAAGTGGCCATCTAGATTGACCCGTCAAGTTTGAAAAAGAATTCAAAGATCCTGCGTCCATAGCATCCATAGTATCAAGTATCCAAAAAAAAAAGAGTTATATACAATAAAAGAGAAACAAAAAAAGCAATAAACTATTTAAGATCCTGCAAGAAATAGTCAGGTAAAATCGGGGGAAAACTATATAGATTGACAGCCCGGAACCTGCAAAATTCAAATAAAAACTTAGTAGAAAAAACGATAAACCGAAACAAAATCAAATGAAGAATGTTAAAGATGAAAAACAATAGAGAGATTTGCTATGCGAGAGGAGCCGGATATGTTCGATCGAGAAATGAAAAGTTTGATGAAGGAATCAACGGAGTTTAATAATGATGCCGGAAAGATTATAAGCGGAGTTTTCTAATCCGAGTATAAGGAATATCTAGGTTTTATTAGAGAGCGCTGCAACGGCTATTTTCATAGAAGGCAACGGCTATTTCTAGGCTTAAATACCAAACATACCCTCGTAGAATAATGCAAATATCAGTTGAGATCTTTATTGAAAATGACAACCACTTGAACCCCTAAAGTTTTAATTTCATCCAGTTTAGCCCTCATAAAACCATTTTCGCCAAAACCCTAAAGGCCCTGTTTAATGATGTCGTGAGGTGGCCTATTTTATTTTTGTTAAGTAATGAAGTGAAAAAAATGGAATGCAGATATTTTGGATTTTTTATAACAATTTTGTCGCGAAACATAATCGGCGACAGATGATGATTACCTATCGATGATAGGTAGAAAAGTGCGGTATCAAAATTAAATTATTTAAAAGTTTAATAGTAAAATTAATATATCTCTAAAGTTTAATGTCTAAAACTATATCATTTTAGGTATCAATAGTCATCATAAAAGATAAGTCTACAACACATGCTGCATACCGCAACTTACTACTAAAGCGACGTACCGAAACACACTACAAACAAATTTATCCTTATTATGTAAATATTAAAAAGTATAAAATTTTATTTAAAATTAATCATTTATTAATATTTAATTATAATGCAATTATATTTTTTAATTAAAAAATAATAATTAATTTAAGTGATTTAATTTATTTAGAATTAATATTTTTAAGTTATATAAGTTAGAACCGATCATCAGCATCAGTCACCGTCGACGACCACCTTCACTCTCCGAAAAATCAACTGCTACAACATATAACGCTTCAATTCGCCAGAAAATCAATTGCTCATGATATTTTTAATAAAAAGTAGGTAAACTACACATTTAATACTTAAACTATTTCTTTATTTCGTTTTCGTACCCAACTTTCATTTTTTTTCAAAATCATACCTAAAGTTTACTTTTTGTTTCATTTTAGTACCCCGCAGTTAAAAAGTTAATGGCACATCTGACGTGTTATTTTTTTATTTGGGTAAACTACACAGTTCATCACTCAACTATCTTCTCACTCCTATTTTGATCACTAAAATATAAATTTTTTGAATTTAATCATTTTGATCCTCTCAGACTATATGATTATTTTTTTAGTATGACATGATAAATTAATTAATATTTAATATCAAATAAGATTTAAAATAAAAATAAAAATTTATAATTTTAATCCAACCCTTAATCCCCAATCGTTGATCCAAACCCCAACCCCAACCCCAACCCCACCTACATCACCCTCCGACCACCACATAAGAATCCATTGAAAAACGTTTGCGAACCAAAAATAAGTGAATACATAGAAACAAATTTAAGTGTCAATAATACGATAACCACCATCACCTTCACAGAGACAAGCTAAGAAAAATGTAAACATTGCTCAATAATCATAATTGAAACAACAAAAAGCTCAAAAATTTTTTATATAAAGATAAACACATCAACAATAAAAGGAAAAACGCATGAAGTGGATGAGAAGGAAGTTGTCATCCATGTTTCCTCATTTCCTCTTAAAATGTTGTAGTTCTAGAAAAAGTAAAACTAAATAAAGAAGAGATAAAAGAATATGAAACAAAACAAACAAAAAATATAGGTTTCTGTTTATACTTATTTTATTGCACTTTCTCTCATTTTTAGGCAAAATGAAGATAATTCATTTCATTAGATCACCAACCAAACAAAAGCAGTATTATTGTAACAGCCTTAACCCATATACGTTACTGCATATGAGTTAAAGATATCACACCAAACGTATAAAATATTTTTTTTTTGAAAATGTTAAAATTTTGGTTCTTTAAAATCTTAAAATGCATTTCTTTAATTTTAAAACTAATAATCACATAAAATAATAATGAAATATTTAAAAACATAATATAATACTGTACTATTCATTTATTTTATTTATAGTACTTAATATTACCTATTTTAAAACAATTTTAGATATTATTTTATAAATAATTATATAACTAATGTAAATATTAAATCAACTAAAACCTCATTAATATACATGTCACTAACTACAATACAACAAAATATAATGTCCTTACTGATTATGGTGTCGGACTTGATTTCCCCAGAATGACGCTGGTACGCATTCTACCTTGCTCGCTAGCTTAATACCTACGTGTGAACCAATCACACGCTAAGTCTTTCACTTAGTGAGGCAACATAAGGAAATAGATAAACTTTAACATATAGAACAAGTGATATCATATAAAAATATTATTAAAATTAAACATGTATAAATCCAATTACGATCAATAAAATTATTTGCATATACTAGAAGTTATAAATTTAACTGTCATTTCAAAACCCGTAATAAAAAATTTACTTAAACAGTCTGACAGTTAGCAGTACTGTGTAAAATCAATTATGTACTACTCTATTTCAATTCGTATTATTGCCCACTGTATCATCATGGGAATATATGGTAGTGAGTCAGTACGAGTGTGCGAATTGTTTTGCAGTTTTATTATCAGTAACAGTTTGCACTTCCAGTGCCAGTAACAGTAATGTACATGTTTTGTAAAACACATCATCATTGTACCAGTAATCCGATATGTATTTCACAATGTCACAACATCGTGAACCCACAGTGCACATATAGTGCAAGTATCAATAATCAGTAATCATTCCACCTCATGACATGTCATTTGTACCACTAACTCTCAGTATCATACAATGGGCGTAATTCAAAATTATATATTGTTCTCCATATAAAACATCCATATAATCGAATATAAATAAAAATTTCATAAAAATCAGTTGTGGACAGTTCATACCTAAAATGTTCACATGTTATAAAACAAACAATATAAAATATTGTATTTTTAAAATACAATTTAAAAAACATTTTCTTTTCTGATCGATTGAGGTTGACTCATCGTAAATCGTCCTCGTATCATTTTATATAAAAAGTTAGTTGCACTCGCCTGTTGCCTCACTAGCTTTAATACTACAATCATTTCATTCTCGGGTTTTATCATTTTCTTTTAATTCACTTTAAGCTTGCTTTTGGTCACGATCTACATGTCAATCGATTTCCCGACATATATAATTTTAAACATATATTAGTACTCGTACTAATATAATAAATTCAAATTCAAATAAAATTCTAAAAATACTATTCATGTACGTTAGATACTAATTTCTTACTAAACCGAAATCGACACCAACTCTATTAAATTATCTTTCTAAATCCTTTAATAATTCACTTTAATCCATATCATTCATCATTTTCCTACTATATCCAACATTTTTTCAATTAATACATTAGTATTGTAATTTTGTAATTTTCACCACTAACTTTTCGAAACTCCTAAATAGATCCCCTAAAATGTACAACTTTTCATTTCAATCCAAAATCCACATTCCATCACTAATTTCCAGCATAGTGTTTTAAATTTTCAAATGCTTACAACTTGATCCTTCCATTATTCCAAACTTGCGAAAATGGTCTGCTAACTTATCATGGTTCCATAATGATCTAAAACTCAATTCCAAGGCATGAAAATCATCCTTAAGTCCAATATAATCCCTATGACATTTTTATTAAAATTTTCCAATTATTTCTTTGTAACATCCCAAACTACGGGTTAGTGACTAAATAATAAGGATTTCATAATTTGTTTATTAAAGTGGAAAAATTGAATAGTTCAATGATTTAATTGGAAATATTTCCTGAAAGTTTATAGTAATTATCCAAAGAATTAAAGGACAAAATGGTTATTTAGTAAGAAAGATATTTCCCCCAATTATATGAATGATTCACGTGAGGTGGGGAAGAGTTATCTACAAACTCTTCTTCCTTCTTCATCTTCTTTCTCCCGTGGAAGCTAGGCAAAGGTAAGGGTTTTCTATTTTGTTGATTATTTGTTGAATTAAAAGTTGTGTTTTGATCATTAGATGATAACTAAGCTTAAGGAAAGCTTAAATTATCTTAAAAGCAAAAGATAAAAGAGTTATGATAGATTAAAGAAAATGGGTTGTTAAATGAAATCTTGAAATAGAGTTGATAAGTTGAATTTTAAGTTTAATTTGACTTGTCATCCATGAGAATAAGATGTTAGAAGTGTTAAAATTAAGTTTGGATAATATGGAAAATTTAGTATGATTATTGAATTCTATATAGAGAATAGAATTTTGAGGTTTAAGATAAAATAAATGGATATAAGTTAGTTTAAGTAATGGTGGTTGGGTTTAATGACATGATAGGAGTTTAAAATAGAAGATTTGAGTGAAAAATTGATGATTTTCGGGCTTAAAATACAAATTCTGGGAAGAGGGTATCGATACCCTATGAAGGGGTATCGATACCCCTCTTGAACGAAAAATTCCAGTATGTGCAGAGGGTACATATACCCCCTAATTGAAAAATGGAATTTGGTTATTTAATCTGGCTTAAGTTATTAACATCAAGTTTAAGGTTTAAGCTTCTGATAGTTGTTTTGAAATGTTGTATTTATGTAGACATTAAGCCTAAACAAATTTCCGGAATAATCAAAGGATTAGGATTGAATCAAAGCAAGGCTAAGGTGAGTGCAATTTAATTCATACTTATATTATTAAATAAACATTGGCTTGCGATGAGCCAGTGATGGAGTTACTATGGTAAGAAGTAACTCCTAAAATGTGATTTGATTGGTGATCGATGTGATGATTTGTGTGATTATGGGATATGTGTTATAAGACAATGATCTAAATGACTACATGAACCATGTGATATAAGTTATGTGATTACATGTATGTATTAATACATCTTGCTTGCATTACATGTTAGTGTGATTATGAATAGGTAGAAAGGAAACAAATGATGATATAAGAATCTATTATAATATATGATATA